CGATCTTCGACAGGGGAATATTGCTTCCGAATACCCTCACTTAATCGAAATTACCTATCTTGAAATGTGGACAGCACATTATTAAGCATGGAAATGTCCCCCAAAGTACTTCGCGTTTGTCGAATCCCATGCGATGTTTGACGCCACTACGACGCTATGACATTTGTTTGTCCTGTTTTTATGTTCGATTTCACGCATAACGCGTGATTCTCGCAGTGAACGGAAAATAGTCTATTGGTAGGTGTGGTGGGTGCTTATAAGGCTCCTGTAGTATGCCCTGATACCGATAAAAACAGTTGAAATTATTTCTCACATTTCCTATCATCAGTTTTAACATTTTTGGTCTTAAAATTTGGTGCCCTTCAAGCCCTAAAGGCTTTCTGATGATTTACTGTAAAAGCTTTAATGTTAACTTATTTAATTTCACTACTGCATAGAGATGAATTATTTGTGGGATTTGTGTCACTCATTTTGCCAATAGATACAAATGCTCAATTAAAAACGATGAAAATCAATAATGTATTACTTTCTTGTGAATATTCTGCCCTTTTTTGATATTTTGATCATTTTCAGTATTCAATTTTAAATTCACATGAATATATTTTATTTGATATCACTTGTGTGTAAAAATAGTTAAATTAAAACCCACTGAATAATTGATGTTTTTAGTTTAGAGATAGCTATTTTCAGAAATGACATTTTTTTTTCAAATTTAATAAAACCTACAGTATTTAAAGTGAAAAAATCTCAATAAATGACATATTAATAAATCGAGGTGTTCTTATTAAGTAGTTGGAGTTGATTACCAATTTAGAATCATTTCACAATGGCTTAAACCAATCGCAGAGATGCCATGAAGTGGGCAAAATGTGCTATGTCAATGATTTGCTTTGTAAAGTAGCGACATCACAGCCTTCGGTAGCAAAGAACATGGGTTTCTATCTACTGTACTCCAGTTCTTGTAGTACTCCATGCTTTTAAATGTCGACTTCACACGTCACTCACAAGGAGAGTTGTATTCTGCAATTAAATTTTGAGTATACTGACTTCACTTTCAACAGTTGGTGAGACCGTTAAGCAGCAAATCATCCTTGAAATTATATGCGCGAGTTTCAGCTACATTGTACACTGCTGTTCTTATTGATTATCGGGACCATTCAAATGATCGTTCGTTCTTTCAACTTTCTCTCGTTCTGCTCTTTTAAAAATAAGATTGTCAGATGTTTTTATTTGTCTTTGTATGCACATGTATTTTATCTGACTCCACAAGGTTGTTGGAGAAGCGCTTAAATTTTATGATTGTAATATCAATTAGCAGGTACATGTATGTTGATGTAGTCTGGATGCAATTGAAATTATCATTAAAAATTTAAATTGCATTGAGTGGTGTTAAAATTAACATCTTTAAATTTGTTTCAATTATGGCATTAAGACCACATGAGTTTGGAATTTAGCTTAATTTCAGAATGATCGTCTGAGAACCTGTATTCCATGTCTCTGTGTTTTCGTATTTGGATTCTGTAGGATGGAATCTTTGCTCGGGGGAATACAAATAGTGTGCAAGTTTTGGACTTCGATGACCTAAAAAGGCCTCCCTTGATAGATGGATTGGTACATGCAGTAATGTTATAAGTCAAAGTGTTGCCCTAAATGTTGTCAGCAATATTACTTCACACATGCCAAGTATAGGATGAGTCATCACATGGATCAAGTCGCCTATCTGGGTGTATTTATCTCTGTACTCTAGCTTTACCCTTGAACAACCTTCAGTCATATTTAAGATACTGCATTTCTTTTAAACCTAACAGTAATGTTATTTTCTTCATCGTATATATTTAAGGAAGAATATTATTGAACGGTGCATTTAAAGGTCACATTTTATGGGCTTGCTATGATCTGATTCAATTACTTCTTTAACACATCATCTTGTTCTATATCTATAAGCAGTCTGTCTTAACAATTACCTCAGAATCAGATGTGGTGCTTGTAGCTTATTCCATTCATAGACACTATAGCCAAATGCTAGTACATAGTGGAATTGGAACATACTCCTTGCTATGTTAAACTAGTATGTTGGTCACATCAGTGCTAGTACATAGTGGAATTGGAACATATTCCTTGCTATGTTAAACCAGTATGTTAGTCACATCAGTACCAGTACATAGTGGAATTGGAACATATTCCTTGCTATGTTAAACCAGTATGTTGGTCACGTCGGTGCCAGTACATAGTGGAATTGGAACATATTCCTTGCTATGTTAAACCAGTATGTTAGTCACATCAGTACCAGTACATAGTGGAATGGGAACATACTCCTTGCTATGTTAAACCAGTATGTTAGTCACATCAGTACTAGTACATAGTGAAATTGGAACATACTCTTTGCTATGTTAAACCAGTATGTTGGTCACATCAGTACCAGTACATAGTGGAATGGGAACATACTCCTTGCTATGTTAAACCAGTATGTTGATCACATCAGCGCTAGTACCTAGTGGAATGGGAACATACTCCTTGCTATGTTAAACCAGTATGTTGGTCATGTCAGTACTAGTACATAGTGAATTTGAAACGTATTCCTTGCTATGTTAAACCAATATGTTTGTGGTAGACATACATGTGTATGTTATTATCACCTAGCAGCAGACCATATTCAGATCACTTGACATCGTTTCCATTTACCACAAGCAGACTGAGATGTTTTAACTGATCATTATTTAACCAAACATGAAATATGGAGTAGGAATTGTGTTCAATTCATCACAACTATAATACCAAAATTAAAGGGGCATCTTCCAGTTAAGCCTAATCTCACAACAAATTTACTTTCCGGATTAAAGTAACAATGGATAACAAAAGATAGATTAACATTGTAAACAACATAAACAATAGTGTCCCATGATTCTTTGGTGCAATCCATGGGATTGAGCGGTTCCCCTTTAAGTTAATTCTGTTCATGTGGCAGTCTTTCACTGTTGCTTACTGCTTCCACAACAATATATATTGATCATTTTTTATACCATTATTCTGCTATGCTCTGTACATAGTAAATTGAAATTTGTCAAAATTTGCTTAAAATCTCAAGATGAATCAGTAAAAATTGCATTATGTAATATTGGGAAATGCTTGCTTTATTATCCACTGTTTATCACATTAACGAATACTCCTAAAATTACAAAAAGCACACAGCATTGATGCTTTCTGCTACATTACAAAATAGAAAAAAAAAATTGTGTTTTTTAAGCTATGATGCATACACATTTCCATCTCGTCATATTACATTTTATATTGCATGTTACATTCTAGATGCATTATTTGCATGTTGAAGTGTTAATTGCTCTAATGATGTTTCAATTGACTGATATTATTCGCTTGAGTTATCATTTTAATTATGAAATTAACAAAACATTCAAATTACTTATCACCGGAACTAAATTCACTGGTGTGAAACAAGTACCTATTGCCAAAATAGCCAAATGGACTAGAGAAAAATATTATTTTATTTTTATTTTTTTTTATTTATTTTTTTTTTTTTTTTGACAACTTCTTAGTAATTATTTAGACACCAAATGTATTTGTACTGTCTGTATATTTGAATAATTTACTAGGGAATGTTTTTAGAAAATTGTAGCTTTTTAATTAATAACAACATTCAGCTTCTAATTTCCTTGGTTGTTTTTTTTTCTTAAAATTCAATAAAGCATGCTATCATGCAAAATGTTGGAACAGATTGTGTATATCGTCTTTCACAGGCTACATGATATTCATATTTTTTGGTATTTCTCATGATACTTTCTTTAACTCTACTCCAATTTGATAACCAAACTACTATTAGTTTCGCTACTGATTAATACACTGTGTGAGGTTTTATCACTAATGGGTCTGTTCCTGGCTAGCTCTATCTACACTGTAGTTGTTTTTCCAGCATTTCTTCTATATTTTGAGGGATATTTATGATTTGTTTTTTTCAAGTAGTAATGCTAATTGTTGAAAGAAATCATTGCTTTAATTCGTAGCATGGTTATAATTTTCAAGCCATATTTCTGTGTAGGATAGGGGCCTTGTTGGGTAAAACATATCCTGCATGTTTCCTGGCTAACCTAGCCCAATATATAGCCAATCTTTTTAGGAGAGAAAACACAACATGGCATCTAATATTTAGGTTTAATCAGTGAAATAGAAATATTCACCCATCACCAGAATGTGCATGTAATTTATTTACACATGAAATGCTAGATATTTATTTAATTTTCGGTGGAGATCAATGGAATTTTTTTTTCTTTTTATTAATGATTTAAACACTTTTTTTTTTCGAATTGTCAAACTTGGGAATGAGAGGGTTTTCTGTTGAGTTACAAAGGTCATTCTCCATGCTTATCACTGTGGTTTCTTCACCATTCCTTGTGATGAGTCAACATAGCACGTTGTCATGGTTACAAGTATATGTAAAGAGGCATCATGGTCTTCTGGTTAGCTACACAATACCATGCCCCCTATCTCTTTGATTATTAGTAATTTTCCTTTGATGTTCCAAGTAGATCCTGATTAGTGTTCATCTTTGTAATATACTGGGTGTTTTTCGACCTACAACCACATTTTTTTTTACCCTTTTTTTTTTCTTTATTCATCATAAATTTTCCATTATGAAAAAAAAGTGAGTGTCTAAAAAATAGGTTAATTCATCTCAATATTTAAATAATATAAATGTATTATAATTCTGAATGGTTATAATGATATGAAAAGCACTATACACCAAAAGCACTTTGAGTCTAAAATGTATGTAAATGCTATATAAAACAATCCAAATATGTCAAAATTGTATTTCTGATTGTAGTGCATGTTTCAGAATTATATAGCAGTAATGTATCATATGATGTACCCTGCTGCCAGTGGTCAATTTTCATAATTATGCCAATATTGAATTGCTGTGTGCAGTTGAATGGGAGGTGTCACGTGACCTACCTCATTGTAATTTCTGATTTTCTCTTCTATTGTTGCAGTCTGTAAGCTCCACCTGCGAGGTATTGTTCAGAGGTAGACCTATATAAAGGTTGGCTATCCATCAAATCGTCAGTCAGTCAGTCAGTCAGTCAGTCAGTCAGCGTGCCGGCTTTGGAGACCGTTCTCGTGCTCACTCTCTCTCCGTTTCACCGTAAACTGAATATGCAAGACCCGGCCTTAATGGGTGATGACGGTGCACTTGGAATGCAAGATCAGCAAGAAGGTAAGTTCATTTTTTGTGTTTTTTAAATGTGTTAATTTGTGTGTCATTGTCTTTGTACCATTCTGTGACTCCAAACCTATTCTTTCAATTTGTCTCTTGAAAGCCACAGAATTATTCTCAATGTGCTTTTAGAATGCTTTCGTTTTAGTTTTTGCAAAACTGATTATAAATTAGGCATAGTTAAAGTTGTACAGTTTTTATCATTAAAAAGCTTGCTCGAAAGCAGAATGCTACAGGAGTCAGCTGGTAATTTCATCGTATAACTGTCATTCTCCTAAGCTTGCTCTGTACTGACCTAATGAAAATTGAGGTTTAGTGTGTTTCTAGGAGACAGGAGGGACAACATCCGTTCATGTATTATCCCACACGTCGGGCAGATTTTTGTTGAAACTGTTGTGTTGAATGCCTAATAAGACAAACAAAAGCTGTCCCTGCTGAAACTGAATATCTTTTATTACGATATATATGCATAGGTAGTTGCTTAATTTCAAGATGAGCTGGTTTTATTCATTGTTTTCTCCACCATAATAAATGGTGAATGCCATACTGAGCTAAGATGTTAATACAGTTGCTTATCGAAAAGTGTTGGCCTACATACGTTTCTTTAGCCAGCCCCTTCTAATAACATTATATTTTTAACACTGTAAGCCATTAGTTCATACTGTTGTTGCATTGCTGTGCTAGTCTCCTGAGACCTTGGAAAAAAACACTTGAGGGGATATGTACCATCAAGGTGGAAAATTTATGCAAAATGTTGACACTTGTTTCCGAGAAAAAGACCCACTGAAAATAGGTGTCTGTTGATCTGAGATGCATTTCGATTTTTTTCACCACTATCGTGATTTGATTTCAGCTTTGCATAATTTGTTGAATAGAAAGCTTTTCACTTGTTAATGGCTACAGTGTGGGGACTAGTGTCAAAACCTCCCATGCATTTACTTGTCAACGGCAACTTTAAAAAAATGTTCACAGCTTCCTTTTCGCACCTCTCATTCAGTTGTCTTCCTATACCATCTATTGATTTTGCAGACTAGTTCTTTTCAATGTCTGTTTTCACCAAGCTCCACCATTGATCAATGTATCTTCTCACTGCTGTCTTTCTATAAATATTGGTCTAAATTATACAAAAAAAAAAATTCATAAAACTCGCCATCCTTTTAATTAGAAAAATAGAATGAACCATGCATATACAGCCATTTATTGATAACCAATAATATTACAAAACATCCCTGCTTTGAGTTTTGAAATTACAACATGAAAAGAAAAAACAGATATAACAGTGCATAACCATGGCAACTGCTTGACAGTTTCCTGTAGCAGTGGCTTTATGACATTGTAGAAGCCATGATTGCTGAGAAAATATCCCTAACAAGAACTGAATATCAGAAGGTCAGACAGTATGTATACCATAATGATGTTTCAGCTTTTATCAAGGATTGCATAGGCAGTCTGGTGGTGTCTATAAAAATTATACAAGAAAAAAAGCTGGCCTTTTTTTAGCAAGTTCTGGTTGAGTATTAATTTGTTGCATTCTGACAAGCTCAGTGTATGAGAGTAACAGTCACAATGGACTTTCATGATTTTCTATATGTATACATAGGTTTCATGAATTAAAAAGTATCTCATTAGTAGAAGGAATACATTTTAATGCGTCACACAAAGAGAAGTGTGATGAAATATATTACTTGTGAGGCTAGGGAGGCGCGACAGCTACAGTGGCTACAATAAATCTGCAATAAGCTGGGGGATGGTATTAATGCAGCCGTATGTAAAGTAAGCTTAGAGGATTTTCTAGCTAAATTGAAAGGAAGAAAAAAGAAATTGATGAAACTTGAGATAGAGTTGAAGGACAAAAAATGTGGAAGGAGTGTAATTTATTTCAAGTGCATTGGTAGTCAGGTTTTTATTTTTTTGCGTATATTTCTAGCTTAGACCCAAGCGTAATGCGAATAAACTGTCATTTCTACTGCAGTGTTTGATGTGTAAACAGTCTTTGGAGATTGTGCTACATTAGTATGAATAGTCAGTCTCGTCAGCTGCTTTTCTATTTTACGCTTCAGTCTGAAATTCACATGGATACACGTTAACACGTATCGATAGTGTGAAATGCAACAGGTTTCCAGCCTGAAGAAAACAATAGCAGTCTTGTATGAAGAACAAACATTCTTTTTAATTAAGTGTTGGTATATTGTTAGCATAGGGGAGCTTTGGTGAATGCCAAATGAATACTCATTACTTGTTAGCTGGCTGCTACTGCCATTAAGGTCAATTGTGGTTTGCATTAATTATTAATTAGCTGAAATTCGATTCTGTTTTACGTTCAGGAAATTGTAACAGAAACGACCATCTTTTTTCTCTGGCACTTTTCCCAAAAATGATCTTCTACTCTTTGTAATGTAATATGAAAAATAATGTAATATTTTTTTGCCTTCCTCTCCTAATTTATGTATAAATGACATTAATAGCGGTTTGCTAATTTTTGTTTTTCTTTACTGAGCTTATTCAAAATTTAGAAACAAATTGTCTGAGCTTGACCTTGGGTCTTATTTAAGTAAAATAGAATTGGTTTAGTAAATATTAATTTTTAAGAAAATGGTAGTAAAACAGTGCTCGTTATTTAAATATCTTAACCATAGTTACAGTAAAGTGCTTTAATTTTGCTAGGAAAAAATGTTCAATGAAAATATGTTCTGGTCACTATGATGCAATTTAGGCTTTTTAAACTTCTTAAAATTCCAAATAAACATTTTTGGCAACCAAAATTTTTTTCGTATTTGTAGAATTTAGCTTGTCCACTCACAATTTTATTGGTTAGTTTTATTAGCCATGATGTAAGATGTGTTTGAAGGGTTTCCTCTTAGCTTGCAGCAAGGCCCCACCCATTCAATGGAAAGAGGGGACACGCAAGTTAAAACTAATGATCAGAAGCTAGATTACAAACTACCAAGAGGTGAGAATTATTCCTGTTAGAAAATACCTTCGGTCAGTTTGGTCTGAATCATTTTATAGCACTGGTACTAGTTAAAATAAAATGGTTAATTTACTCTCTGATCCATGGATTCGTGGCTGAAATAGTTAAAAGGTAGGAATTAGTATATCACATGAAGTATTATTTAAATAATTATACCAAGACGGAAATTAAATACAATCTAAATTTACAAATCGTTTTCTTGAAAATTTCCTGTCTGCACACAAAATTTCCATCATGTCTTTATTACACAGAAGTAAAAACAATTTTAGTGTAGATTGAAACTAACAAAAAAATTGTACTGTCGTATATGCTGGGTTTTTGACATTCAAACATGTCAGGAAATTAGTGTAAATCACTTGAAAAATAGAATTACTGATGTGATGACCAGCTACCAGTGGGAACATCATACCATTTTTCCATGGCAACGTTTCAGTTATACTGAACAAGGCTAGTCCAGGTTGTCATTAATGAATGTTTGTTGTAGAATGTCTACTTATTGGAATAGATAGGGAGGTTGAATGCAAAACACAACTACCATTACGTACTATAATTATTGTATTTCCTCCCTTTTTTTGCTGATAAGATATGAACAAAGATTAGTGATCACTATGCTTCCCATAATGCAATGCTTTGTCAGCGTGCACTACTGCCCCAATATAATAGGAAATAACAGGCACTGTATTTTACAGTTTGTCATTATAAAATATAGCTGTGTTTTTGAATAACCCTATTTATATTACGTTATACCGGTATGCGGATCTAAACTCAACTGCCTTTTGTGTAGACTGACTCCTGTTTTCTTTCAACTGAATACACTTTATACTGAACTGCATTTGCGAATTCCTTGCAAATAAAAATACTGATGATTAGTCAGAAAAAATTGTATAGTTTTTTCACAGCCAATTTTTTTAATTCATCAAAATTTAATAATATCGGCGCATTTTCCTAACTCTTTGAAAGCCAAAGCTTTAGTGGTTTTCCTAAAATAGACCTGCAGTAATGTTTCCTTTTTTTTTTTTTTTCTTCAAAAATGAAAATATGTTCATTTGGTCTTGTATTGGGGGAAAATAATATATATAAAAATGTATACAAATATAGCACCAAAATTTTGACTGAAACTATTGGTAAATTTGATATATGGTTGAAAATAAGTAGTATTCACATTGTCAAAGTTGTACTTGCCACGCGTCACTTTGTCAGTGAACAAAAGTTGACTGATCTGCGGAAATGATTAATTTTGACAATTTCTTTTGACCCTATCTGTTATTTACATGCATTAAAGGGCTATTGGCACATGTTTCTAAATTCTTGTTGAAGGAATGTCTCTGCTTCTTTCCTGTGATCAGATTTGATCAACTCGTCGGCAGATGTTATAAATTGGGGCTGTCTCCGAGGGCATTTCATCAGAACGTTACAAAAGCTTTTAATGGCATTAAAACGGTGCAGCTTAAGGGCAAGAATAAAACATTCGGCCCAGCTCTACGTATCTCAAGCTGCTGAATGTTTACATTGTAAAGCAGTTGACTAATGATACTTTTTTTTTTCGGTATTATTTTATTTCTAAAGCTTTTGGGTTTATTTCTATAATCTTGGTGATTTTCCTTATTTTGCGACATATTCTAATAATTAAATGTGTGGTGAAGTAACTCTTGAAAAATAATTGGGTAGCATTTTCTAGAAATGGTGATCAAAAATACTTATAGTTGTATTGATGGATGAATGGTTATTCATGACTTGAGATAGCACTTATTTTCAAGGCCAAAATAAAAAAAAAATAATGTAGAAATATTCAAATAATGTAGGGAATATCAAAGAACACCAAGGCAAATTCATTGGGTATCAAAGAAATAACAAGCAAGACTGTTCCATCTATTTCTTAAACTTGGGCATTTTTTCATCACTTTGTACAAATTACTGTTGAGCCAATCTGATGACATCCTATTGCGCAATCTATTTCTTACTAGCAAACCAACTTAATGAAAGGTTTTCACTGCCGTCTATGACATAAGGTGATATAGCACAACCTTGT